AATTTAGAGAACTACCCACATGGAGGTTCATCTTGAGCCCGTTTCACTGCAGCCCTTCGGACTCAAAGGTCCGACATGTCTTGGTGTATCAGCCGAGGCCAGAACCACTTCGAGGGCACCGACGACGCCTGGCATTCTTGCGGTGCTCACGTGTCTGTGTGTGTGTGTGTGGGGAGTTCCGAAAATTTTTGGTGACAGGTTTCCATGCAGAAACATGTTCTAGCTGGCCGGGGTCTGCTACGAAACTTACGTGCAGGTTGTTGGGAAGGCACACGTTTTACGAAGCTTTTGACTGAAACCGCGTGTTTCCGAGGACTGGCAAGGACACACTTGCTCCCCAGTTGCAGTGGTCCACTGGTGCATCTCACCTGTCCCTGCTTTTGGGGCCGTGCTGGAAGCCTCATGTAGCCAGCTCGTCCTCGCTGTGTGAGAAGTGAGGCGAGCGCCCTTGCAAACCGGAGTGGTCCTCCATCCAGGGCTATGCAGCTTGTATTGAAAAGGGGGCCATATGGAGTCTGCGCTAGGGCTCTTGGGGGCATGGGCTCTATGCATTCGTCAGGCTGCAAACATTGAGCGGCAACAGAGCCCTTGGCAGCACTGCAGTGTTGCTGTTCAGTAGTTTGCATACCTCAGAGCCCCACGCTCAGCCTGAGCCCAGCCCTCAGCTTACCACTCTAGTAACCTTTATTGGAGAATGACCCTAAACCCTAAACCAAGAGCAACCTTTACCGTAGCTTTACAGCAACGAGGGCGAAGTGACCGGACAGTGGCTCCTTGCAATCGTCCCCAAGCAAGTCGCGTGTCGGCACCCGGAAGAACGTTGGAGTGCGAAAGAATTGGCCGCGACGACGTCTTGATTGTTTAGCCTGTCAGAGCCACGGTTTAGGGTTTANNGTTTAGGGTTTAGGGTTTAAAGATGCCGGGGGATAACTTCCCCCTTTGCCAGGGAGCATGCTTCAAGTGTTTCGGGTCGTGACAGAACAATCCCCGGCTCAGCCTGGCTGCCCTAGTTCCAAACGACAGCACAGGTGGTCCAGTTTTTCTTGTATCATGTCATATGCAGTATGTTATGACACAACCTTTCGGAACAAGAAAGTTATCAGGTACCGATTGTCCTCTGCTACCCTTAATGTGATAGCGTTGTTGTGTTTCTCCTCGCAAGTCTCAGTTCGTCGACGAGCACGATTGAAAACGTGTGTTGCAAGGGCAAATGCGCTCCCCCATTGTCACGGCAAGGAGATCAGATTGGGTCAGCGGCAACATCCCCGAGGACGCAGCAAGTTTGAGGGGACAGCTCGTTCAGATTGAGTGGGAAAGTCATGTCCATGGCAGCGTTCGAAATACTGTTTTCAATACTGGCACCTCTGTGTTGATCATCGCGAGGCTGAGTTACATCCATTCCTGCCAGATTAGTTGTGTTCTCACGAGATCATGAGGACTGCAAGCCTATGGCCTTTGATGAAAACGGACCCTTGGGCTGTTGATCAGCCACAGGCTGCTGCAAAGGAGATCAGGCCTTATCGCCACACCCGAGCCCTGGGCCGTCAGCATCCCTCGACCTAAGAGTCGAAATCCGCTCAGGAATGCGTCTTCCAACTTTGGACATTTTTCCTGCAGCCGATACTGGAAAGGATAGCAGGTCTTGGAGGACTGTGAGCTACAACAACAAAGAGGAGGCGCGTGCCGTCAGTTGCGGTCCTGCTCGTGCCTCTGGCCAAAGAAGTAAGCCACACGGGTAGACCGGGGTAGAATATGGTGGAATACTTACTGTTGAAAGTCGCATCTTTCCGTCAGGGCAGCAAGTGGTGGAAGGACCAGTGGTATGGTGGCAGTTCATCTTCTGAACAATATGATGGAAAGAACGGGAAATCGCACGGATGGTACGACACACGGCTTCCCTTTACAGACTTTCTGTGTGGCGTGTAGGTTAGGGTTTTGCAGCGAAATGCAACTGCCTCTTGTTTCAGGTGGTTGATTGCCGAAAGAACCTCTTCAGAATCCTAGCTGAGCATCTCTTCACATGTCCGAACCGAAAAACTGACAGTTTCTGTCTGTCCTCACCATCAACGAGGTGCTGCATCCCCTCCCTGCAGCCTCAGCGTCACTTGTGCCCGACGACTGCTCGAACGGCAACGAGCTTCAACACCTTACCAACAGATGTTGACAAGTGTTTGTCATGGTGGACCCGAGAAGGCAGGGCAGACGAAGACGGTCTGTTGCTGCAGCGGCTGTGGCGCTGCAGCCGCTGTCCAAAATGATGGCCGACAAGGAAGATGATGAACAAGAAGCTGATGATTGTCATGGTGGTGGTGGTGGTGATTGCGATGACGACGACGATCATGTTGATGACGATGGTGATGTCCATGGTGATGTCCATGGTGATGGCGATTGATGTTGATGACGATAATGCCGGCGAAGACGAAGACTGTGATGATAATGTTGCTAGTGATGTTGATGACGTTGATGTTGTTGTTGATGATGATG